CAGCTACACTACACGGTTCCCTGGTTTGTGACACGTTGTTTGTCTCTTGGCGCTCTTAGGGCTCTGTTTACCCTTGACTTTTACCATTTTAATTATAATATGTCTTGGTTTCATCTTATTTGGAACTCACTGGCTTTCCTGGACCTGGATGTCTGTTTCCTTGCCCAGATTAGGGAAGTTTTTATCTATTATTTTTTCAAATGAGCTTTTGCCCCTTTATCTCTCTCTTCTGCTTCTGGGACCCCTATAATATGTATATTAGTCTGCTGGATGTTGGCCTCTAGGTTCATTAAGGTATATTCACTTCTTTTAATTCTTTTTTCTTTTTGTTGCTATATCTGGGAGAATTCCATTGCTTTGTCTTCCAGCTCTGTGATCTGTTCTTTTGCTTTATCCAGTCTGCTGTTAAACTTCTGTAGTGTATTTCTAGTGCAGTTATCGTATTCTTCATCTCTGTGACTTGTGTTTGGTACTTTCTTATATTTTTTATGTCTTCGTTGAAGTTCTCATTGTGTTCATCCCTTCTTTGCCAGAGTTTAGTATCATCCTTGTGACCATACTTTGAACTCTTCATTAGCTACATACTTAGCTTTGTTTCATTAAGCTCTTTTTCTGAAGTTTTGTCTTGTTCCTTCATTTGGAACATATTCCTCTGTGTCCTCATTTTGCCTGATGGTCCGTGTGTGTTTCCCTGTGCTAGGTGAAACACCTCCTCTCCCATTCTTAAAGGAGTCGCCTTATGTAGGAGATGACTGGTGGGTCCCAGGAGCACAACCCCCGGTGGGCATGAGGGCCCGTGCTCCAGGGGAATTTGTGGGCTTCATGTGCCCCTCAACTGTGGTGCAGCCCTGGATGCCGTGTGATGGGGGTGGGACACTCGCCCAGCTGATGATCCGTCGAGGCCGAGGGGTGGGGGGAGGTAACAAGAGAAGCATGTTCTCCCAGCGGGCTGTGCTCTGGCTGTGTTGGGGCTGTGGTGGGGGGCTTGCCTGGCCATTTGATGCGGGGCTGTGGTGCCTGGGGCAGGACCCTCATTCTGTTACTGTTAAGCGGCTGCAGCACACTGGGGTGGGGCATGCCGTGAGGGGCTAATGGGTTAGAGAATGATTGCCAGCATTGCACCTGCCAAGTGTAGGCATTAGCAAGGTAGAAGGAGACTGCAGAAATGATGGCCACTGGTGCTTCTGTCCCTGGGAAGAGTCCCCACAGGTTCCTGTCTTTCCAGTGGTCAGTTTAAGATTAGTAAGTCGGTCTCCTTTACCAGTTGTCCAGTTACTTTTCAAGCTGCTGCCTTTGCACTTGGTCTGGGGTGAGTGTGTGTTTTTGTGTGTGTGTGTGTGTGAGAGAGAGAGAGAGAGTTCTTTAAGAGCAGGTCCTCTGTTCCATACCGTTGTGTTTCTTCTGCTCATACTCTTCATTGCTCAGTCAGTTAAGCATCCGACTCTTGATTTCGGCTCAGGTCATGATCTTAGGCTTGTGAGATCGAGCCCCACGTCGGGCTGTGTGCTCAGCAGGGAGTCTGCTTTGGATTTTCTCTCTCTCCCTCTATCTCTTCACCCCCAGCTCTCTCTCAAATAAAATCTTAATAATAAAATAAAATCTTAAAAAATTCATTAGATAATATTATTTTTTAACTTCAGCTCAAGTATTACGTCCTTTTTCAACAGTTACTGGGAGCCCTTAAAATGTTACTTAGTCAATACTCTCATCCCCTACCCCTGAACATCTCCATGATCCCACTGGGTGCTGGACCAAGTACAGTGTGTTTAGCTGTGTCATGTAACATATCTGGACGTAACAAAGCATATTTATCTTCCCAAATAATGCAGAAAGGAAGCAGTACACTAACACATTAGAGTAGGATATAGAAAAATGTCCAGTTTATCTTTACGTTAACAAAGAGGGAGAAAAACCCCTTTTCTATATCTCTCATGTCTTTTGATAAAAACGTTACACCACTCACACACAAGACCATCTCTGTGAGATGAGATTTCACTGTGAATTTTGGGGGGATGCAGACATTCAGTCCATAACATACCTTAAAGAAGTTTTCTGTTATTCTTGATGATTTAGTCTGTGCTCCACAGTAGACCATCCCAAAACTTTGTGACTTGAAACAGTAATATTTTATGATTTTTTTTTTTTTTTCTTAATGATTCTGAGGGTTGGCTGGGTTATTTCTTTTTGTTTTCATCTTCGGTTTCACACGTGAGGCTGCCTTCATTAGGAGAGTTGACAGGGCTGGAGGGCTCAAGACGGCCTTCCCATGTTTGCAGATGACGCTGGCTTTTGGCTGGAGTGAACTGGTTTTCACCGACCTTGTCTTTCATCTTTCAGAAGGTCGCAGGCTGTTTCAGGGTTCCAGGGCCAGAATAGGAACTGGTAATTCTCTTAGGGTGTTAATTTATTTCATCTCTTTGACAGTCCATTTTCTCATTGGTAAATTGGGAGTGTTTGTTTTCAAAATCTATTTTCCTTCTTATTCTAAGAAGGATTACACCAGAGGTGACTTAAAAAATATTAAGTAATCTACTGGAGTAAAATCAATAGTTGAGGAAATCAGCCAAAGAGAAAATGAGGAAAAGAAAAGAAAAGTAGGGAAACAGTTTATGCCAAAAGAAGACAAAACAGACAAAAAAGTTCATGCTCTAAAGTTCTATAAAGTCTGGGCACCTGGGTGGCTCAGTTGGTTAAGCGTCTACCTTTGACTCAGGTCATGATCTTGGGGTCCTGGAATCAAGTCACGCGTCGGGCTCCCTGCTCAGCGGGGAGTCTGCTTCTCCCTCTCCCTCTGCTGCTCCCCCTGCTTGTGCTTGCTCTCTCTGACATAAATAAGTAAAATGTTCTATAAAGTCAGTATTGTTTGGTCAGAAATTCTTCTGTGTGCTTCATAATATCCAAAGGAAAATACAATTCACTGTAAGATTTAGTGTCTTAAAATAGACACACGCACTGCTCAGGAGAAGCATAGGTATTCCTCAGATGCAGCTCATTGTTCGTGGAAGGAGGACAGTGGAGCGGGGGTGGCGGCATCGTCCTGTAGCTCTCCTGCAGCCGCATGGGCGTCCCAGAGCGGGGAAGGGCGCGGGCTTCCCAGAGCACGGGCGCCCCGTGGCATGGAGCCGGCATCCGGTGCTGTTCAGTATGGACAGAGCAGGGAAGAAGTGATGCAAATGTCTGTTCTTGGAAAATCTCATCCCTTTTGATACCATTTTAAAGGAATACTATTGAATAAAGTAGTTTTTAATTGGTTTAAAATATGGATAATGGAAAGATATCTTACTACCTTTGCTTTGTAAAAAGATAACATATGTAAGATTTTATACGAACAAGAGATGGTCCATCCTTCCAAGTTATAACTTTGTCCTTATTGTAAAAATAAATGGATTAGATATTTGAACTCCCTTTTTATTCATCTGTTTATTAAAGTTTATAATATACTATGATAGTGTTATTAAGAAAAGCACACTTCACATATTATTTTTGCAAGGCAGAAAACACGACCTTTTGGGGCTGGTAAATATTTTATTCTTAAAATAGTTTTTTACATCATGTAAAAAAATTTTTTTAATCTTTTTTCCTTTAGACATCCCTTTGCATTCTTATTTGTTTTCTGTCATGTTTGATAAGTTTAAAACACAAATAAGTGATAGCAGATGTTACCAGAGTTAAAATAGTACTTCTTCTGACTACCAACTAGTGATGTTTTTTGGTGTAGCGAAGCTGATAAATTAGGTGCTGTTGTAAGGTTCAGCTAGAGCAAATGAAAATAATTTATCAGAAAAACAAAGAAAATGAAACACTGAATCACCACGAGTTTTTCAAGATTGGAGAATCAATCAAAAGCTCTAGAAGTAACTTGAGTTTTACAGTGAGATTGTGGATGTTTAACAATCAAGTAGTGTGTTCATTTTGAAAGATTTATAGCCCTTATTTTGTTACGAACTTGACTAATACAAGGATCCAACAAAATATGAAATATAGCCCAATCTGTTAAAAAAGGAAAAACAATTTACATCTTTCAAAAAATAAAACAGAAATTGAGTCAACATGCTACAAAGGTTGATGTTTAAAATACTAGCTTAGGAAAACACAGGCCTGTTGTTGTGGGTTTACTTTATGTCAGGCAAGCGAGGAGATTTCACGTTTCGTTGAAACATTTGTGAAGGTGAGTCAATGGATCCCTCACTGATTGATACACAAACCCCAGTCTCTGCAGTCCAGTGCTGAGCATCCTTTGGTCTAGCTGCCTCCCTCTTGGCAGATGATTAACAAGTGAGTTCCTGACATGGAAGTCATTAAGGACTGCCTGAGAAGACAGAAGTGAGGGGAGGGGTTCTGGTGAGCAGGGTGATAGCGAAGCTGGTCAGGAGGAAGTCACAGAGGGGACGCTCTGTGGAGGGGGGAGTCATTGTGTACCTTACCTCGTTCTAACCAGTCCGTCCACATGTCGTTCGTTGGACTTGAAGCGTAGAGGGAACATTTACATGACAACTAAAAATACAGAGCCTTAAGACTTAGATTTATGATAATTTGTGACAACAATTACTTAGAATTGTTTTACTATTTTTTGTAGTTTGGTATGGCTATGTACTATCTTTCCTACCATTTCTTCTTTTCAGAAAAACTATCTTTAATTAATCAGTGTTTGGAAATTACAAAGTTTAAGTCAGTCAAACCGAAAAATATTTTGGGTTTCAGACATGAGCATACAGAGACACTAAGAGATCATTAATAATAGATAACTGGAGCTTTTTGACTAGAGAAGCCGCTTCTCAAATAAGAGCCATTTATAACATGTAGTTTTTATAATGGTTTCTCTAACTTTTAAGTTCTCTTATTTTTTAACTAAATCAACTAAATGTTAAGCCAATTGAAGAGATAATGCGATTAAAACTTGCTTATATTTGGTCTTTACTTTTATAAAGTCAGTATAGTTATTTTTGTATACTTACTGTTTCTCTCTTCATTTTTTGCTACTTCCTATTTTCTTCATTCAGGTGATTTCGCAGTTGAGGATCTTGGGCAGATCAGCAGCAGCTGGTTGCAAATTTGATAGAGAAATCTGGTCTAATGAGTTGTCCCCTGTCCTCAATCTCTGGAAGAAACTAAACCAGGTTAGTACTGGAATATTATTCCAGTTGTTTCCCCTTTTTCCTCCCTATCCATTTTTTTTTTCCAGTTTTCTCCCTAGATTGTCCCTATTGGTTAAACTGTGCACTGATCTGTCCTTACTGTGTACCGGTTTCCTGGAAGGAGGAGGACAGAATAGTAGACGCAGATGAGCCTGAGAAGCAGGGTGGGACCGGGGGCAGCGTGCTCGCTCGTCTGCACCTGCTGGACGTTCCTGTGTCCACTGCTTGCCTTCTCTCTCCTCTTCCTGTAAAGTCAACAACTGCTATTAAAAGTGGCATTTTTCAAAGGACTCAAGGTGCTGAGCAAAAACCGTTGGTCAGTTGGAAATTGGCGTGGTTTTGGTATTGTAGAGTAGTTGCTTGCTCACTAGGCAAAGCCATTGGAGTATTGTGATTCTATTCTTGGTGAATAGCGGTTTATTCTCTGGATTTAAAAAAATATAACTATGCAGTTCATCCATTTAGTAATACTGTAAAAATGCCTGTATATCAGATCTAACCTTCTAAAATAAGGGAAGTCAAATAAAGCTAATTTCAGAACCTGTGAAAAAGGTTAAAACCTTCTAAAAATTCAAAGTCCTCAAACCTTACAGTATTGTAATTTTGAGTTATTAGGACAGTCTCAACAATTGGTGATTGTCAGGAGTCTGGATAAGCACTGATCCCAGCTAACTGGAATCACTGCTTTTATTCAGATCATCACATTGATAAAGCTTGATATAGTCAGCTTGAGGAGAAATTCACATTGAGAAATACCACTTTCGCTGGCATCCTAAGCCCTGTTCCCCACTCTGCCCACAAGTAAGCACTTTATACGCGTTCTTGACTGCGATCCAGTCTTTGTACCAATTCATAGTGAAGTTACTCTCCTTCCCTCTGTGCTTAAACCAGCCATTGTTTTTCTTTAAATTAATAACCAAATTTATGCACATTTTAATTTTCTCTTTTAGCAGTTAATTTTTTATCTTGATGTATGGTAGTACTCTCCTTGTCAACATGCAGCTTCTTGTCAGTTTCCAACTCGGTTTCCTTCTTAATGTTTTTCTTTAAATTAACCAAATTTATGCACATTTTAATTTTCTCTTTTAGCAGTTAATTTTTTATCTTGATGTATGGTAGTACTCTCCTTGTCAACATGCAGCTTCTTGTCAGTTTCCAACTCGGTTTCCTTCTTAATATGTCATTGGCTATTTTGAATTTTCTGTTGATTTTTGGGGCTGTGCAATCCTTAAAATATGTACACATATGCAAACACATATTCAAATGTATGCATATTATATCATATTATGAAATAGCTATTTATTCTGAGATTAATAATGTAAACTCATTCTCAAAGCCTTCACTTAGAGACTAAAATAAAATGATTGGAATTACTACATTTATCTCCTACTAAATTGCAAAAATATTATAAAAGTAATCCTAATTATTGCAAAGATCTCATCTTACGTTTTAGAGACATAATCCACATATCCTTCCCTCTGAAGTATAAGTGAACTTCTTTGACCCATTTTTCAAGTTTGAGTAAGATTGAAGTCTACTCCATGATTTTGTCACCTTACTTTCTTACAATTTTCTTGGTCTCTAACTGAATTTGTGCTGGTCACATTTTTATCTCACCTGCGATCTGGCCGGTAGGTGCAACTTCTGTGTGTGTGTCACACAAGAAGTCCAGCCCTATTATTTTGTAGCGACGGAAAGGAAAGGTATCTTTTCTCTTTTACCCTTTGAGATTCTCAGCTGGGTCTGCTACAGAAGACAGATTAACAAGACAAAAGCATACAAACGTATTGAACACAAGTTTTGTGTGACACGGGAGCCTTCATAAGGAAATGAAGGCCTGAAAACGTGGTTAAACCTGAGTATTTTTATGCCAGGTTTGATGAAGAGTGCAGAGTTGTGACCAAATAGGACAGGACAAAAGGGGTTCGAGCCCCGGATGGTAAACTGGGGAACACTTCGCAAGCCTGTTGTATAAATAGATACTACAGCTTTGGGTAATTCTCAAAGTTCTTGGTGTTGGCTCTTGGCACCATGCAACATTTTCTGGAATATGCTGTTTGGTCTTCCCTCCCGACCTGCTTCCCCACCCCCGTTCTGGTGACACATACTCATACTTCCTTTGTAACTCTGGAGAAGTCTTTTCAGTTACTACGTAGAGAGGACCACAGAAGTGACTTCAAAGGTCTGTATGAGTTGTTTACCTTGTAAGGGCCAACCCAGTATTAGAAATTCAAATTAATTCTCTTTCCCAAACCCTCGTTTTTCTCCTTTGGGCTGTAGGCATGGCCTGTTAATAGCTCTCTGATGTTGGATTCAGGCCACAGCACACCCCTCACGGCCCCCGTCCCGCACATGGCGCTCAGTGTGGGGGCAGCAGAGCAGACTAAAATATATGATGCTGAAATCATTTATTTTAGGCTAAGCACCCTGGGGAGAAGTCCCATTGTTAAGCTCAGTAAGCTCTTCAAGTGAGGCGTTATCGCAGAAGACTCCACGGTGCAGCGGGTGGATCCCAGCAGGGGTGAGATGTCGATCCTGGGTTAGGTCTTCAGACCCACTGGCGTGTGGCTGCTTCGGCATTCACTGTTCCGACTGCAGCTGGTGGGTGTCGTGCTCAGATTACGCCCGGCAGCTGTGTCTTTCAGTTCATCCTGCACACTCTTCTGAATCACCTCTGTGAATCAACTAGAATGCCACCTTCTTAGTGCAGCCATGTGTGGTCTCTTCTCGGGCTGCTGGCGGTCCCCATACTGACCTCCTGGTACTGCGTGGCCTGTTTCTTTATGCCAGGGTACTTGCTGGGGCCCTCTTGGGTTGGTTGGTTGGTTTACAACATGCCAGGCACTTTGGAACTTTTGTATCTGCTCTTGTGATTCCCTTTGCATAGATTCTCCTTGCTTTCTGTTCAGTTGGATAACTTTTGTTTAGAAACCTAACTAGTCTAACACAAATACCACTGATCTCTCTGGCTTTGCAGAGCCACACATTGCGCACACTGTGGTAATACAGACGAGCATACTATCATCCTGTCCTTAAACTCAAAAAAATATTTAGCACGTGGATTCACAGAAATGACGCATCTAAGGAAGGATCACTCTAGCTCTGTTTTCACCATTTATTACATGAGCCCCTTTTTAGTCATCTCCTACAATTTTCCTCATTTTTGCAATTGCATAGTTATTTCTTTATACAGAGCAACATAGGAATGAAGGAATTTTCTAATTGAAAAAGATTGTAATTTCTTTCCCAGGATAAAACTCTCAGTTACTATTATGTTGTGTTTTAAGCATGAGATGATTTGTCCATTTGTCTTGGGATATGTCATTATTGGGACATAACTGTTTTTCCTTCCTGTTCAAGGATGAGTAAATGCAATTTGTTACAAGTCCCCACTGGATGGAATCTTTATGTCCTGTTGGCACTGACTCTCTCTCCTCTGGGGAGGACTGAGAAGAAACTTTGTGCAGAGACTCCCAAGAGCTGCTCAGACGGGGGGACTGTGAGGCTCTTCATCACCCCCCTCGCCCCCACCCCAGCCACTGCACTTGGTTCTGGACCGAGGGCCCTGCTGTCCACTGGCAGGACCCGGCTCGTCACTCACCTAACACAGGATGAGAAGGTGGCTTCTGGAGCCAGACTGCTGGGCTCAGATCCCAGCGCTCGTACTTCGTAGCTGTGTAGCATAGGAAAATTACTCACCTTCTCTGTGTCTTTGTTCTCTTATCTGTAAAATGGGGATAATGATAGTATTTGCCTCATAGGTGTTTCATCAGGATTAAATGAGTTAATATACGGAAGGCTTTTATAGCAGTGCCTAGTGTGTGTGAGCATTCTCGGCCGAGTAGTCCTTTTACTGTTACTGAACGTGCAAAGACTTATAATGTATGAAGGTCTGTTTCCAGGAGAGTCGTACATGTAATATGTATCTCTTTCCAGAGCAAGATATTTTTATCATTTGTATAATTACGTATTCAGTCATTCATTCAGAGTATTTTCATGGAGCATCTCGTTTGTTTCGTTGCTTTTGTGTTCAGGACTGTGTGGAAGGCAAAACCTGTAGAGTTACAGTTGGGTTATAAGAGAGACCTTTAAAAAATTCAAGTAAATAAAGTAAGCAAAAATAATTATCACAAATTATTGCAAATGCTGTGGAAGGAAAACACAGGTGCTTTTATGAAGAAAACGAGCAAAGTCCTATTCTGGACTGGATAGTGAGGGAGTGAAATTGAATCTGAGAAGTGAGCCATGAGAAGGCTCTAGCCAGGCGGAGTTGCAGGGGAGGACCTTTCTGAGCAGCGGGGCAGCGTGAACACTTCTCGAAGCGGACGGCAAGTACAGTCCATGAACCCAAGAGGAAGGATTGGGGCACAGAGACTAAAGGGTCATGTGGGATGAGATGACGATGAGGGATGATGCCCAAGATGCAGGAAGGAGTTTGTGTTTTATCCCAAGTGCAGTGAGGCCCACGGAGAGAGCATCGAGGCGGGGAGTGGCTGGGATCCTGTTGACGATTTTGAAAGCTCTCCTCAGCTGTTGTGTGAGTTTGGAGTGAGGTTCAAGAGGAAGGAAGGAGAACAAGCAGGGGGCTGTCGTTGGGGTAAGAGGTGATGTGGTGGTGCCGTCAGGTTAGACCTGGAAGTATTGCGGAAAGAGACTCACCATGGATTTGCATGTTGGTTTTCTGGACAAGTGACTGGGCGGAGGTGGCGCCGCTTACTGAGCCGGGAACGGGGAGAGAGCGCAGGGGCTGTGGGGGTCGGGGCGGAGTGGTGGTGCTGCTGCAGGGATGGTGGAGATTTTACCTGTGGACATTGAGGAGAATGTTGGCTGCATGGTGGGGACCTCAAAAAGGTTGCTAGGACTTGGGACTTACTAGCATCTAGGGAACATTTAAGTGATGACGAAGCATTACATCATCTAGAGAGAGAAGAAGGAAGAGGACTCATGAATTGGCCCTGAGGAGTCCAACACCTAGAGTTAGA